TTTTTTTACAGAATGTGATGTAACATTGTAATTGCTACCCTACAGCTCTTTTTTTTACAGAATGTGATGTAACATTGTAATTGCTACCCTACAGCTCTTTTTTTACAGAATGTGATGTAACATTGAAATTGCTACCCTACAGCTCTTTTTTTTTACCTGCTTTTTCCATTTCATCCGTCGATTCTGATACCATGTCTTCACTTGAAGCTGGGTCAGCCCTAGGGAACGGGCCAGCTCAGCTCTGTCCGGAGTTGACAGGTACTTCTGTCGGTCAAACCGTCTCTCCAGTCCCATCAGTTGGACTTCTGTGAATACTGTTCGGTTTCTGCGGACCTTCCTACTTATGGAAGCGGTAATCATCGATCCAGCATTATCTTCTAGCTTCTCAGTTTCCCGCATCTCAGTAAGAGGGTGTTGTACAGGCAGTGTACCACAAGGTATTCGGAGGACTCCTGATGTCAGTCTCAAGGAACTTCCGTTGTGATCAATGGAACCAATATCTTGTGCCCAAGAAACACCAGTCGCTTCTGTTGGCTCGTGAGACCATGGTATATGACTGCTTGGATGAGAGAATGTATGTAAGTAGGAACTCATTGAAGGTAAGACAGTCGGTACTAGAAATGGCGATGTGTTTTCAGAAGAAGACTCTGAAAAACAAAAAATAGCTAAGCGTTAAAAGCAATTATCATACATTTGACAAAACTTGAAAAATATTTAAATCAAGAATATAAATTAACGACCGTAATAATCTGCATTATTCTGATCAAATAATTAGTGAACACAAAATATGATAATAAAATAACCCGCTAACACAAAAGTTTGATAATAATATATATCACCAACTTTTATGTGTCATTGCACTGGAATTTAACGGACACAACACGCTTACACTACAACTTGAAATGTCACAAGTTTCATAAAATTCAATTAAAATACAAAAGACCACAAACTGGTGTCCTAGTCGAAGTGAAATAGTTTAAATTCAAATGAGAATGAACAAATAGTTTTAATTTTGCATAAAGGCTACCAATAAGAAACTCACCCACAGTAGATAGTTTGTGATTTAACTTACAAAGACACATCACCTCTAATCCACAGTTTTATAACAAACACAAGAAACTTGAAAGATGCATATAAAGCAATCATAAAGAATCATAGTTTATTCCTAAATCATTATAAAACAAAGTATTAGGAATAAACTAAGGTTATTTAGGAGAAATCATTATAAAACAAAATATTAGGAACAAATTAAGGTTCTTTAGAATAAATCATTATAAAACAAAGTATTAAGAATAAACTAAGGTTCTTTAGGAGAAATCATTATAAAACAAAATATTAGGAACAAATTAAGGTTCTTTAGAAGAAATCATTATAAAACAAAGTATTAAGAATAAACTAAGGTTCTTTAGAATAAATCATTATAAAACAAAGTATTAGGAATAAACTAAGGTTCTTTAGAAGAAATCATTATAAAACAAAGTATTAGGAATAAATTAAGGTTCTTTAGAATAAATCATTATAAAACAAAGTATTAAGAATAAACTAAGGTTCTTTAGAATAAATCATTATAAAACAAAGTATTCCTCCTAAAGAACCTTAGTTTATTCTTAATACTTTGTTTTATAATGATTTCTCCTAAAGAACCTTAGTTTATTCCTAATACTTTGTTTTATAATGATTTCTCCTAAAGAACCTTAGTTTGTTCTTAATACTTTGTTTTATAATGATTTCTTCTAAATAACCTTAGTTTATTCCTAATACTTTGTTTTATAATGATTTCTCCTAAAGAGCCTTAGTTTGTTCTTAATACTTTGTTTTATAATGATTTCTTCTAAAGAACCTTAATGTGTTCCTAATACTTTGTTTTATAATGATTTCTCCTAAAGAACCTTAGTTTGTTCTTAATACTTTGTTTTATAATGATTTATTCTAAAGAACCTTAGTTTATTCCTAATACTTTGTTTTATAATGATTTCTCCTAAAGAACCTTAGTTTGTTCTTAATACTTTGTTTTATAATGATTTCTTCTAAAGAACCTTAGTTTGTTTCTTTTAAATAACCTTAACCTCTTTATTAGTAAACATTCACTATTTTCACTTAAACTGTTTGTCACCATAGGCCTACTTTAAATATAAACCCACAGCTAACACAAATAGCCCTCAAGCAGTTTTGTTTGAACTTAAAAACAAACAAACTTAACATTGTTCCTAGATGGAAAAATTATTTTGCCTTTTGTAATAGAAAATGTTTATATTGTTAGAATGGTCTGTTATACCTTAATACCTTTTTTTTTTGGTATTTAGATATGGTCAACAAATCCTTTGGACAGAAGTATGTTTAACTTCATGTTGCACTAAGCATGATTTTATATTTAGTTTACTTGATAACTTCAGTGATATAATACCTATCTACCTGTATTGAAGCAAGAGTTAATATTTTAGTTTGCTAGATAACTTCAGTGATATAATACCTATCTGCCTGTGTTGAAGCAAGAGTTAATACTTTAGTTTACTAGATAACTTCAGTGATATAATACCTATCTACCTGTGTTGAAGCAAGAGGCAATAGTTTAGTTTACTAAATAACTTCAGTAATATAATACCGATCTAATTTTTTGATGCAAGAGTTAATACTTTAGTTTACTAGATAACTTCAGTGATACAATACCTATCTACCTGTGTTGAAGCAAGAGGCAATAGTTTAGTTTACTAAATAACTTCAGTAATATAATACTATCTAATTTTTTGATGCAAGAGTTAATACTTTAGTTTGCTAGATAACTTCAGTAATATAATACCTATCTGCCTGTGTTGAAGCAAGAGTTAATACTTTAGTTTACTAGATAACTTCAGTGATATAATACCTATCTACCTAAAAGGTACTCAGAGTTGTTCTGCCTTAAGATATTTATCCTAAATTGCTAGGTAGGGCGTGAATTTGATGTTCTATGGTTTGCGATCAGCTATCATAAGACCATGAGTGCGTAATCAGAGTAACAATCAAATTCCCATAATTGAGCATTCTATTAGAGTACAAGTCTTATGCTGTGTTGATTAGCTGCCTTCCCTTAAAACTTGTGATATATTACTCAGTAGTATGCTAAACTTGTTTTGGTTGTTTTACACCAGATATTACAAATCATTATGTTTAAACTAGTCTCTTAAGGATTTTCAAGAATTATAAAAGACTATAATAATAGTATTCCAATTAGAACTACATTCGTCCAATCTATTGCCGACGACGCGTTCAGCTCAATCCAGAGCTCATCAGGCCTAATGGGATACAACAAACACAGTAGTGATCGGAACATTATTTGTATAAACCAGTTGGCACATCAACAACTGTTATGGTATGAGCGCCTTTTAACGCTAGCAAAGAGTCGTTGCTAATGGATACGGCGAATATAGGGTGGTTGAAATACTGTTATTATACACTCTTCTTATTCTTGAATATCCCGCAGCAAGTAAATAATGTAGTGTTAAAAAATGTAATCGGACTAATACTAATGTCTTATGAAAAGCATAATAAATCATAATCATGCTTCGCCAGTTTCTAAAAGGCTTTCATATCGTAACAAATGGCTTATATAAATAGTGTTCCGACCACTACTGTATTTGTTATATCCCATCAGGCCTGATTAGCTCTGGATTGAGAGAAGCGCGTCGTTGGCAATGGATGCGATGAATAAAAAGTTGTAAAAATAACATTATTGTACAATCTTCTAATTCTTGAAAATCCCTAATGGACTAGATAAGGAATGTAGTGTTAATAAATATAGTAGCTCTAATACTAATGTCTCATGACAAGTATAATTATAACCATGCTTCGCCATCTTGTAAAAGGCGTTCACACTATAATAGTAGTTGTTAAAGTTTAATACATGATATAGTATGCACGTGCACATACATGGTATAATATATATCTTCACATATACGGTCTGTTTTATGTTACATATATAGCATACTATACAAGTACACGTTCATTATTTTTGAAAGGTAACCACTTAATTATTGGACATATGTACAGTTCTTGAAAAAGCTTTTGATGATAATATTACGTATACTTTTTAGTACAATATTTCGTCTCTAAAAATGACACATGATCAGGTACACATATATAGTCTACTACTATATAATACATATACACAGTCTACTACTACATAATACATATACATAGTCTACTACTATATAAGACATATACATAGTCTACTACTACATACTACATATACATAGTCTACTACTAAATAATACATATACATAGTCTACTACTAAATAATACATATACATAGTCTACTACTATATAAGATATATACATAGTCTACTACTACATAATACATATACATAGTCTACTACTATATAAGACATATACATAGTCTACTACTATATTAGACATATACATAGTCTACTACTGCATAATACATATACATAGTCTACTACTATATAAGACATATACATAGTCTACTACTACATAATACATATACATAATCTACTACTACATAATACATATACATAGTCTACTACTATATAAGACATATACATAGTCTACTACTATAAGACATATACATAGTCTACTACTATATAATACATATACATAGTCTACTACATAAGACACATACATAGTCTACT